GCGACTTAAGGGTCGTTTAAAGGCGTTGGGCTAAAGGGTGACGGGCGAGAGGCTCGAAAGTAAAGAGTAAAGCCGGTTCCCGTTTCGGGTTGCTCGCTTAAAACCCCTCTCTCTCCCGGGCCAGCCAGTGATACATAATAAATTAATTCGCGTATTTTCCTGTCCTCCTTATCTATTCAAATCTATGCAAAACAGGAGTTAAAACGCCCTTCTTACTGCTAAGGCGTTAACCCTTGTGAAGCTTGCCTCTCTCTATCTCTCGCCCCCTCCTCTCTTTTCACCTTCTTCCCTGACACCTCTCCTCTCCCTCGCGATCCTACCGCCTCCACAGCCACCGTCAGCCACCCGTCCACCCACCGACGCCCCGTCCTTCCCCCGTTTCCCACGTCCTAGCCTCTCGCTACCGTCGGTCGGATGTCTTTGCACACCCACCCTTTGCGCCCGTTCTCATTATCGCGTCGCAGCAACCCCTAAAATGCCACCCTGGAAAGGTCCCTGGCACCGATCTAAGCTCTACGAGGAGATATTTCGAGAAAGGACGAGAGAAAATTCCTCTCTCTCTCTCTAACGCACAAGCGCGCCACCCTTCATCCCCCTTCACCCTTCTTATTTACGCTTGCATCTTCTTTGAAGTTACGGAGGCGGGATAAAAACGGGCAACTTTTTCGAAACACTCGTTCCACCTTGCCCTATCCGTGTCACGTCTCCAAGTGTCTCCTCCTTTCTTTTATTCCGGGGAAATTGAAATTGACGAGAGAATTCCAATCTACCCGGAGAGAATTCCCCGAGAAGAAACTTGGTCAAGCTGTATATGCCATTTTTCTTTTCGGATTTCGTTGGAAGTCGTTACAACGTGATTACGTATTAGCTCGGGAAACTTAGACGCTTCTCTAACGTCTTGGCAGCCCCTCCCCCGTGTCAAAGACACGAGAGAGGAGACGACACGAGGCAGGGGGATGTAGAAGAAGAACGACGGAGGGTATCATTAGTTACCGTCGCCTCGACCGAAGGTTCCTGGTCACCGGGACTGATTAAAAGACGGGACACCCTTGCAAGACACGCGGCAGGGTGAAATGTGACGCGAATTTAAAGGATCCGCCGTGATTTGACGCTGGGGTGGACAGGGACAACCCTTAAAAAGGGAACCTTTAAGGATCCTGCACCGCACTCGTCAAGGGTTACCCGTGGACACTGAAAGGGTCCTTCTTAAAGGACCACGAAGACCTTCGTTGAAAATCGACACCCCTAGCCATTCGATTCTTCCACAATTCTCCTACGCTGTCCTTCTAATTAGTCGAAATAAACTACGAAGTAACGTACGACGTTACAAATCTGTTTAGCTCACGAGAGGTAAATTAGAATTTTCATCCACCATGGTCGATCGGAACGTTCCTCTTCCGAGCGAGTTTCCAGCGTAGAATTTCCAAAGCGAGTAATACAAGAGGCGGGGGTAAATAAAGGAAAAGGAGCGGTCCTCTTTAAAGAAAGCCGGCGAAAATCTACTGTAAAACGATCGGTGGAACGGAGGCGAAGCGACAGTTTTAAACTGAACGCTCCTAACAATCTCCCCCAAATGAGGTAAAGGCCACCTTATTGAAACAGGGGTTGCGATTTTTCCGGTGCTAACCCAACCCCTGGTACGCGGTTAATTGACACTGGAGGGTGGAAAGAGGTGGAACAACGGCGGAGGAGCGGTACGGGGAGGAGAGAGAGTGAGGAATCGAGCTGCGCGAGCTGTTCTTGTTAACTCGAATCCCTGGCTCTTGCTCTCGCGATTTTTCATCCCCTTAGCCAGACTGACAAAGACACCCTCCCGGGAGGCCGCGTGATCAGGGTGTTTTCGTTCCTCGGACAATCTCAGCGAGGATCTTCTCGCGTGTTGCCACTCACCGAATACATTAATTTTCCTCGCGTCGCTCCTTGAAAATTCAATCACGCCAACCTTCCCATTTCCCCGCCAAACTACAAACCTTTCTCTCGCGAACATTACCTCCAAGAAAATGGGTAATTGCGGTTTAATTTCGGAGGAGAGATTCGACGTCTTCGTTATTAATTTCCCCGTACATATTCGCCGACGCTGCGTTCAGATACGATCGGGGAGGGGTGAGAAAAATGAAAAAGCACAATCAAGTGCATAGCACGATTTGGAATACTCGAGGAGAAAGCGGAGAAGACGCGGTAGAGGAAGAAAGACAGGCTCAGTGCTGGACTTCGATGGTCCTCTGGGAGAGCATAAAATTCAAGCCTCCCCTCGAGCCAGTCCCGAACGAAATTTAATAACATCCCCCTAGTTACACCTCAATGGGCACCTTAACAACCCCTGCTCGGGTAGCCAGCCGTCTCTCGCCATTTTCCCCCTCGCGCGTCTCTCTCCTCTCCTTATCAACCCCCGGCGCAGATATCTAATAAACCAGCTCTTGAAACGCGTCTTTATCCGGACAACGATAGCCACCACCACCACCACCGCCGCCGCCGCCGCCACCTTGTTGGCGGTGTGTTATAGGGGTGGGGAAAGTTCGAAAGCTGGCCGAGTGACCCCAGTTTAGGAACCACGAACCGGACAGAGGCGCAACCTGTGCGCTGGACGCGGAACTACCAGCGAAAGGGTTGAAAAAGTGGTGGACACGAGCCGGGAATAAACCGATCGATATGCGTGGATGATGTCGGTCGCGAATGCGACCCAGTTACGCGACCGCGCGTTTTCTGCGAAAAGGACAATTGAATTTGTCGGGGGAAACTGCGGCGGGAGGAGGAGGAGGAGCTGTCTCCGTTGTAATTGTTGCAAGGGGAGTGAGAATGAAAAATTCGAAATTTGTCCGTAGCTTCGATGAAAAAGGAAGAAAAGGAATCGGATCATTTGAGATGAACAGTGTCTAATAGAAATGTTTTCACGATAAAATCCCGACAACAGGCGAAAGGAGTGAACGAGACGTTGAATATGAAAATCACACCGTTCCTCCGGGGATCCGTTAAATCCAGCCCGGTTATTCTCACGAACCTCAGCTATCGTTCGTCCGCAAAATATCCAACGCGGCGAACTTCCATCGCGCGGCGGCACGGTAATTCGATTCAACCGAGCTGTACGTACAGCCCACGTTACGACACCGGGCTGCGACACTTCCGCTCCCGATTACCGTGGAACAATTTTATGCAGCCGGCCTGGAAATTGTTGCGTCCGTCCTCGTTAGCTGAAATTACGACGGGAGAATCTGAAGGAAAGAAGAGGAGAAGTCGAC